AAGTAGATTGGATTCCTTGCTTGGCCAACATGGGAGAATAAAGGTTGCAGACAAAACAATTTGGCCGCCAGAATTTAAAGAGAATATATTCTTAATTTGATTAGTCTTGTCAAGTGTCTACACGTATTCGAAAGAAAGGCAAAAGAAGAACAATGAAAGTGCAAATATCGATTTTGGACAAAGTTATGGGCACTTGAATTTGTCAAGGAATATACAAATATTTGGTAAAATTTGCTAAAAAGCTAGCTAGTAAGTAAGCCAATGGTTTATAGGAGATAGCCGAAAAACGAGTTGGTATAAGAATAACACGAGTCTTTTCTTATTTAATTGTTGCCATGTCATTTTGTAACCCAATTATGTCAAGAGAATTGGGTAGTGTAGCGGGACCGTTTAGAATATGTTTGGTGAAACTAGTTGAAAAATTAGGTGATAGCTCTTAAGTTAATTTCAAATTTATGACTAATAGATGAAAAACTAGCTGATATAATACAAATATAGGCGATATTAGCTGATCCAGCAAAAGAAAAGATTTCAACGGGCTTTTCTAAAAGGCTACCGAATGAAGCTTTTGAAGTAAGCTTGAGATTTAACAAAAAACATATCATACCAAACCAACCCTATTTAAACACAATAAGCTTGTAATTAGCTTATAGTGTTAACCAAATTAACACACGTTAAAAAACTACCTAAAGAAGCTATGAGGTAAGTTTTGACTTTTTTAAAACTTCATTTTGCCAAATAAAATTTAGTTGAATACAATATTTATAAGCTAGCTATAACTAAACTCTTAATAACTTGTGGTGCTTACCATACATAAACAATTATATTGTTTTCAAATCTCATTAATTTCCTAGACATCTCCAATAAAATTAATTTTTTTTTAATATTAAGATCTCATTAAAAAATAATTTTTACTTATGTCATCAGCTTAAAGGTTTATTTTAGTATTATATCCTTCAAATGTTTCTATTTTTTGTTTTTTTTAATGGAAAATTTTAATTATTTCACTCTCTCATCCTCGCAGACAAGCCCAGTTACAAAATTTTGTACCTAAGAAAAATACATTAAGACCAAATTAATTTGAACTTTCCAAAGGCCCTTATCGATAACATTTAGGCCCAAACAAAGGACTCGGCCTACCCCATTAGTGTGCTGTAGAATAAAATATATTATATATATCAGTTATGCTCTCATAAATACACTAATATATACCCAAATACTATTCATAAAATTGGGATAATCGAGCCCAAATGCACAATGTAGCAAAGCTTTCAATCAACCATTTTCAAGTTCAACATTGTTAAAATGAAGCTGCGGATTTTCACTTTATCCATGGGATTTTCACATCAGTTTGTTTAGTTTAAAGGGATCCAAATTGTACTATTTATAGCTTTTTTAACATGAATGTCAATTGTACTTGTTCTAAAAGTGGTTTTCGTTTGGTCACTTCAAAGTTCAAACTAGTTGTCTCCTATTTAGATGAAGCTTTTTTAGGTATATTTATTACATAGAAACAGCTCTACAAAGCTTTGGCTGCAATGAAGTTGATTTCAACCATTATTTTGAGTGGAAATAAAGAGTTAATTAAATGACACCAATAGGATCGAATAAATATGTATATCTTCGTACAAATTTTCATTCAATATCAATATCAATTTCTTCGAATAAATGACACCAATATGGCTAATTTCAAACATTTTCATTCAATATCAATTTCTTCGAATAAATATGTATATCTTCGTACAAATTTTCATCAACATCTAAAATTAGAAAGAAGAAAGAAATTGGATATTTGGTTCCTTCATGAAGAACCCTAGTTAGTTACCAACTCCCAAAAAAAAAAAATGAAAAATAAATACCTTTGACATAATTTGATTGGGAAAAAGAATAGTTTCAGTAACAATATTGATTGATTACCCAACTATAAAATTGGACATAAAATTACAAATACTTTGATTACAAAAAATAGTAATAATAATAATAGTAATATTGATAATATCATTTAATTTGTCCCATCACTTGAGATGACGCGGGCCACTTTTGCACGACACTTGTTCTAATTATGTGGTCTACAACATATAGTAAAATTAATAATATTCAATTTTTCAAAGAAAACTAGTCTAGGCATAGGCTATAAAGTCGGGTGTTGACAAATTGTTTTTAATTTGAAATTTCATCCAATTAGATAAATGAGCAATATATAAATCCTTTAAACGTAATTTTCAGTTTCTTTAATGAGTTTTTCAGGTGAAAGATATGTGTATGGAAAAAAGACAACAATAGGGTATTGGTGGGGATTGTGGAATTATTTTGCAGGATATTATATAAAATAATAAAAATAATACATGATCCCCAAAAAAATAGTTTGCTAGTTTTAATATTGTTTTAGACTTTTAGTTAATATGTGACCAATGGATGTGCATTCGTATTGACTTTTGAATATATCTCATAGTCCACGATAAATAGACTCGTGTTACACAATTGTGTGGAATGAAATTAAGATATTATAACAAAAACACGTTTATAGTTGTCCAATTAATAAAATTATATAAATAACGCAACGAAATATTTCTAGAAAAATCAAGTATCCAATGAATCAACATGTTGGCTTACATTATTTCCCAAAAATATATCCAATAATAAACTATAGGTCAACTTCTAGAATATCCATTGATCGATTAATTAGTGTTTTAATTAGACAATCCGTGTAATTAGCGCTTTTAAATTAAATGAGTTGTTCGTAAGTTTGACTCATTAAAATTAGAGCTCGATTAGGTTTGATTGATAAATAATCAAGTACTCAAGTTTGAGCTTTTTTAACATTAGTTTAGTGTACAAGTTGAGTTGAGATCGACTCGTTAAAACTCGAAAATAAAAATTTTCTATAGTTTGGTTCATTAAGACTCGATTGCACCTGGTTAATATTATAAACAAGTGAAAATATAAAATATTATTATACACAAATGGGTGGCAAAAACTGGGGAGAAACGAGTGCGGACCCACTATCTGAAATTTTCTATAATTTGGTTCATTAAGACTCGATTGCACCTGGTTAATATTATAAACAAGTGGAACTATAAAAAAATTATTATACACAAATGGGTGACAAAAACTGTGGAGAAACGAGTGCGGATCCACTATCATGAAGCGCACTATGGGAATACGGGAAAAAGCCCATATTAAGTCCAAGTGGAGTTCCCATCACAAAACCAATTAGTGGAATGAGGAGTAGCCCATTAGACTTATAAAGTGGGTCTATTTTTCATGTATGAACGATGTGGGACAAGTCACAAGTGATATTCTAACAATGGGCTCGGGCTCAACTCGTTAATATTATAAACGAGTTGAGTTCGTGCTCGACTCGATTACATTTTTTTCTTATAACTAAGAATAAAATAATTCCATTTATGATTTTAGATGTGTAATTTCAATTTTCGTTAGAATGCAGTAATACGTGTTGGTATTCCAGGCAAAAATGCTGTGTAATATATCAAAATAAATTTTGTATTGAAGTATTTTATTTCCATTCAACGTTTCATAAAAAAAGGTATGAAAGTATTGTTTTCCACGCACGGAATAAAATAATAAACACCAAGAAGCCAAGGTGGAGACAAAAGTATATTAAAATATGTATCGAATCTGGAATTAGATTCACCTTAATATAATTCAATTTAATCTTGATGTCACCCACAAAGTTGATTTGTCTACTGCTAAATTATGCTATTTAAATAATATGCAAAATCTAAGGTCCTAACAAAGTGTCCAAAAGACCAAAATCCCTAGCAAATATTAATTATATAATGCACTAGAATAGGCACCAACAAAATAATACTATTACATTGACAAACCTAATACTATAATGAGAAATGCTACCAATGTTATAGTGCTACGTAGGTAATGTGGAGTTAATTATTTTTTCACATAGCCTACGTAGCACCAATTACATTGGTGGTTGGCTCCATAAAAGAGTCAACTATTGGATCCATAGCATTTCTGTACTGATAATTATATTGGTCTTATAATTATACTATATTGATTAATTGATGACACAGATATATTTGATTGAGGACACTGATACCCACACATACACACAAATAAAATAAAATGTCAATAAAGTTGTTGTTCAACTAATTATTGGACCTGGATATACAAAACAAAAATATGCATGCTCATACATAAAATATATATACACACAAAAAGCCATTAACAGTTAGAACAAAGAGATTTGACAGGAGCTTGAAAAGATTGACATTACAGCAAATATATTAAAACTTGGACACACATGTTTATACTTCTCTTGTCCCTTCTTTTATCCAACCGAAAAAGAAGCTAATCAGTAAATAGTAAATACCAATCATAT